TTATTATTATTATATATATATATATATATATATATATATATATATATATATATATATATATATATATATATATAATANATATATATATATATATATATATATATATATATCCATATTCATATGCACACATATCTATACACATTTACACGTTACACATGTATCATATCGTATACACATATACACTTACACATTTACGCATATTAATTACTAGAGTACAGTTGTCATTGTGTGTTATCTAAGATGCGAATACATTCTCAATATATAAAATCTACAGCACAATATAATTTTTTTTTTTTGTGACTATCTCAAACGAACAGTATCTATAAACCATATGAATCGAAATAATGTCGACAACGAAGCGAGGGTTGTGTAGGTTTGATATTCACAAGAGCAAGCAAGATTCCCAATTGGTTTAATTCCTCGAATCATCACAACACATGTCACAGGATGACAACTATTGTTTTTAAAAAATTAGCTAAAGCCTAAAGTACACAATATTCCTACAGGCTATTTACGCCATAGCCGCCTAAATTATACAAGAAGGTTATGGCTACGTCTTATATTGTAGGTCTTTAAAAAAATTGTAAATATACTAATATATTTAGGTATAATATGTATGTATATATTCGTTGTTGTTTTTAAATACTGGCCATGCCTCTCACTCTACTCTACTCAAGTAGAGAGAGAAGAACGAGAGGCCTCCGAAGACCAATTTCAGTGTAAAAATCATCGTGTATTTAACTAATTATAAATATAAGATTCGCAATTCACTCGCAGTCACAGCCTCGGCAGCCTGGCAGGTCAACAGATGACAGAAGTCGCATACCGTTCCAGAAAAATAATTGGCTAGTAGTAGAAACACTGGATCACAGGATCAGACAGCGTCTGACAACGGACCAACAATGACGACAACCATTTAAAATAAAAATTATATATACATATACCAACACGTCACAAACGACAAAATCAAAACAATTTTGTTTTTAAAAAGTAAATATTTATTATTATTGAAAAATACAATGAATCAACGACGAAGTCAATGATTGTTTAAATAGAGTCTGAGACTGAGAGTCTGAGGCTCCGAGTCTGAGCCTCTGTGAGAAGTCTGAGTCTATGACTGAGAGTCTGAAAACTGAACTCTGCGAAGTCTGAAGTCTGAAGTCTGAACTCTTTTGTCTGATTGTGGAAACGTATTTTGCGGTATATATCCCCCCACACAGTACATATGTATGCACCAGCCCCCAGGTGACCAGCCTGCCGTCTGCAGAGTGCAATATATAAACGGTTAACTTTAACGTAAACAACGTGTCAGGTGATAAATGTAGAAGTCGACAAAATGATGCTCATTTTTGTTTTGTTTTATATAAATACAACTTTTTGGAAAACATTCTTGGTACTGTTAACTGTATCATGTATGTTTTTTTATTGAAAGTACTTTTGTTTTCAAAATAATTTTTACAACGAAATATATTTTTACAAGAATTCGTAGTATCAACAGAAATTGACATCATTGAGCACTGGCAGTCTGGCAGTCTGGCAGCAGTCAGGCAGTGTGCCCACTGGGTCTGGCAACCAGTAGGGCGAGTAGGCAATATTTTATATCATGTACTGAGAGTCAGACCATCCAATAATCAATGACCCACTCATACTCATGGACAGGAGATATAATTTGATTGGATACTAACATGCATGAAAAATATAGGCTCTTTTTATAATAAATGGAAGTTCTAACTTCGATGTGATGCCAATATTCGACTAAAAGTCGATTCTGATATGTGACAATTTGGAATGATAGATTGTTTTTAGAAGTTTTAGTTTCGGGGAATACCGGATACCTCGTCAACTCAAAAAATATTTGAATATTGAATTTCAGAGCCAGGCTCAGGCCTCGAGGCATCAGGCCGAGATATCTGTAAACAATAGCTGTCATCTGTTTTAAAAAATAGCAATTGGCCATCAATCAGCACTGGTATACATACGAGGGGTGAAGAACTCAAGATGTAATCGCAACGACAAGGACAATCTGTGAGGCGTGAGCCGTCAAAGTGTTCGCCTCAAATATTCATATATAAGGCAACCGATATGTTTTAGTTAAAATCATAATCCGGAACAACAAACCACCAAATATTAATTATGTTCTTGACAAGCGGCCTTTTCAAAGCAGTGGCGAACAAGCCCTGCCTGTCTACAAATATGATCCGCACCACCCACGCACAAGTACGTCGGTCTGGCCTTAAAACCACCACACAGTCCTTGCAGAGAGGCTATGCTACAAGCTCGTGCGGACCTAAGCGACCGGTGGCCATGTCTGCAAGACCCACTATGACCAGCACGTTCTCTACGAATGGATTGAGAACTGCGAATGCTAGCAGAGTTGTGAGGGGCGGGGTTAAGTCCACTTGTAAGCCACAGCCCATGCCACATGCCGTTGGGCAGCCCACGCTCACACATTCATTCCAGAGAGGCTATGCTACAGGCTCGTGTGGACCTCAGCGACCGGTACCCATGTCTGCAAGACCCACTATGACCAGCACGTTCTCTACGAATGGATTGAGAACTGCGAATGCAAGTAAAGTTCTGAGGGGCGGGATTAAGTCCACTTGTAAGCCACAGCCCATGCCACATGCCGTCGGGCAGCCCACGTTCCAGAGTTGATAAAGCTCAAGCAGGAATAATAATATATTCGATAATATCCAAGCTCACGAATGGTCCATAATATAGAAGTGTACAATAAATATAGCATTAATTACGAACTCGCCGATGTCTAATTTTGCTGATCTTTTCCTGAATTGCCTAACAACGTCATCCATTCATACACAGCGATCGTGGTATTATTACTCCAGAATATGATTGAGAAAAGCAGTTTCTGTTCGCGATTTCAATTGACACCTTGTTGCATGAAATTTACACCGGCAAAGCACAAACTATTTGGCCGCATATGAGCAGTATTGTCAGAAAACGAATATTCAAATAAGTTCATATTATATATCACCGATGGAACTGCCTCTACTACTTTTGTAAGCAATGATGTGTACGTCAGTATATTTGTGTATATATATGTGCAAGATTTTATGGATGTGTGTATGTATGTATGTGTATACGTTGGTTCGTATGGATGTCTACGTTTGTTTGTAAGCAAGTCTATACACTTGTTGTTATGCAAGTCTATACGTTTATTTGTATGCATATCTTTAGGATTGTTTGTATGTATTCCATAGGTCCGTTCGCTTGAATGTACACACACACATTCACACACACACACACACACACAT